AAAAAAAAAAAAAAGGAGTAGAGTTTAGAAATACAATTTTCAGTGAATGCTCCTTGCACTATATTTTATCTCTTGCCCCGCTTTCATACCACCAATGCATTACCATTTTCTAATTATGGTAAGGGGATTACAAATAAATCTCTATATACAATTTCTCAATATTTTGGATTCCTTCAACATTTTGTAGACCCAATTCCCCTAAATAGCTAAGCATTTCTGCTAGCTAATGAACCACACAAGTTTATGTCAGAAAGGAGACAAAATGAATATATTAATTTGAGATGTGCCCCAAGGCAATTTTAATCATGAGAAAGTTATTGGATTCTATTTGAATAAGTCTATTCTCTGTGTCGTGAAAACAAAGCACAAAACAAACATGTTCATTTTGTGCCCAGTTCTTAACAAAAATAAAAGTTCTTCAAAAGCCCTTTCTCCAGAAAAAAAAAATTAATTATATTAAATATTAATATTAAATAAATATAATCACTCAACAATTAAAAGACTCTCAAAATTATCTTTATTTCATGTAAAAGATAATAGAAAACAAAATGGTGGGGTGGATTTTTAATCTAAAGGACAGTGATCATATTAATCAATCTGAACAGAGGGTTTCTAAATGTGGTTTGGTGCGCCTCAATTCCCACTGCTACATCAACTAAAGTTCTTTCTGGGCCTTGATTCCATTTGTAGGGCTTTACTCAACAAAGCAATGATTGTATTTTCATTTTTGTCCCTTATGATGGATTGAACTGAATCTCTCCAAAATAGGTGTTAAAATCCTAACCCTTGAACTTATAGATAGGATCCTCTTTCGGAACAGTTTTCTTTTACTATATTAATGTTGTTGTTATTATTATGTGCCTTGGAGTTTGTTCCGACTCATAGCGACCCTGTACAGGGTTTCCAAGGCTGTAAATCTTTACGGGAGCAGAAAGCCTCATCTTTCTCCGGTGGAACGGCTGGTAGTTTCAAACTGCTGACCTTGCGGTTCGCAGCCCGATTTGTAACCACTACACTACCAAGGTGTACAAATGTAGGGTGGGTCCTAATCCTAATCACTTCTGAGATATAAAAGGAGAGACACACACATAGCAGGAAGACAGACTCCTGGTGACTACTGTACATAATATTTCAAGGATGGCAAGGAGTCAAGAGACACCTGGGGCTACCAACAATGAAGAATCAACATGGTGGAGCCACTGATTTGGACTGTTAGCCTACAGAACTGTAAGAACATAAATTTCTGATTCTGAAATCACCCATGTGTTGGCCCTGCGCTACAGCAGTACCAAGTAACTAAGATGTCCTTCAAATTACTTCCTCTTGAAGATAATGAACCAAAATACTTATGTATTTCTAACATAACAATCACACACATACATGTAAATACATAACTTATTTCACCACAGTCACCGTAGCTATGGGCAGTCTCAAGGTTACAGACGAGATTGTTTCTGTGTCTTTATGAATTTATAGGAGATAAAGGTAATACAGAAACGGCTACAAGCATACATTGACAGAGAACTTCCAGAGGTTCAAGTCAGATTCAGAAGAGGCCGAGGAATGAGACATATCATTTCTGATGTCCGATGGATCTTGGCTGAAAGCAGAGAATATCAGAAACATGTTTACCTATGCTTTATTGACTA